CCCTCAAAGGAACTCCCCCAGCTCAGTCACCCAGCCGGTACCAGCTGGGCGCCCTGCACTGTGGATGTCCTCATAGCAGTGCCCTGTCTGGGTGAGCTGGGGGTTAGACAGCAGCAGCTCTCTGGCACTCTGTGGTACCCTGGGGAAGAGGCCAGCAGTGATTTCAGTCAGCTGTGTATATGCCAGCACAGCAATGTGTGTTGACTGTGGGGGTGTTGCCAGAGGAAAGGGGAGGGAGCAGTAGCTGCAGGGGAGCCACTGTAGGGAGTGAGGTGGGCACACTAACTGTGGGGGTGTCACTGTAGGGAACAGGGCAGGAGTGCTGACTGTGAAGGTATCACTACAGGAACAGGTGAAACAAGTGTGGTGGCCTCAACCAGTGGGTCACGGGCAAGGGATCCTGGAGGCAGCATCGTTTTTTGCCTGCACACGGGTACAGTGCTGACTTACAGTACTTGGAACTCAAATCACAAGCATGGGAAGAGGCTGAACAAATCCTGGTGGGACACAGAACTGTTGGGGGATGGAAGTGTCACCCCAGGCCTGGGGAGAGCAGAAAAGTGGCATAAGCTGGAAGCCATGCTGGCCTTTTGTGTACAGAAACTGTTGCGTTTGTGCCCAGTGGCCAGCCCAGGGCAGGCAAGTGTCTAGCACCAAGCAGTCATCTGGACAGAGCTGGCAGGGAGGAAGGGAGAGAAGGAGACTTGGCCTCGCCTCTGAGTTTCCCCACAGGAGCAAGGAACGTCCTTCAGGTTTTTAAATTATAAATTTCTAATGGGGAGGCTCTTAGCGCCATTTAGGTGCTGAGAGATTAAGTGGCTGCTGTCTAAAGCACTAGGCTCATGGGGCTGGGGAGGGGGGAGGATGGAGAACAGGATGCCAGCAACACAGGCCCGAGCTCCTGTGATGCTTGGTAGCAACTTGTTCACCTACCAACTCACCAAGCCTTTGCTTTACACCTTGAAGCACCTTGATGCATTGAACCCTGCTCCCTGATGCCTCCTGAGACTGTCTCAGGGATCAAGTCACCAGTGTGACCGATCTGATTCACTGGCCCTCTGCTCCCTTCCAGCCCTTTCAGGGCTGTCTTTCACACCTCGTGCTCAGGGGCATTCCCTGAAGAGCATACAATAGGGGAAATGGCTCTGGCATCCTCTCACAGCTCACTGTAGGGGGCAGGCCAGGACATGGCAGAGCGCTACCACCTGCCCTCTGGTTCTTTGTTGCTGTTACATGCCCACGGAGACAGCTGAAAGCTAAGTGTAATTTATAGCAGCCCTGAGGCTGCTCTTGGTTGAGTTAAAGGCCATGGAAACTTAAAGCCAGGCCCAGAACATGGAGAATACACAAGTGGTGTAAAGCCAGACACCTTTGCCCTCTCATCCTTGATGCCTGCAGTGAGATAAGACTCCTGGGAGGGAACCAACCCCTGCCTCAAATCCCTGCTCTGGAGGGGGGTCCCCTCATTCTCTGTTCCCTCCAAATTAAACTCCCAGAGGCCCCCCACCCTTCTTACCTGTATTTCCCCTGCCTTTCCTCTTTCTCTACCCCAGGCAGGAGAGGCTGTGCTCATTTTCCCCCCACACCTCCCATCCTGCTTCTCCAGCCTTGCCTTGCTGTGTCTTCTGAGGAGTGAAGGAAAGGAGCGTGGCCAAGTGTGGTGTCAGCACCTTCCCGGCCAACAGCAAGGACAGTGTGTTGTTTCCTCGCCTTGTTGGACTCATCTCCTGGCTGATTTATCCTCGGGTTCGGTTGCGGCAGCTGGGGGAGGGGATGATACGAGTCCCCCTGCTCTCCCCCCATCCCACACCTTTGTGAGGGCTGGTGCCTCAGCTGGGAGGCAGGAAAAGGATCTTGGGAGGCTCCCACAGGCCTCCACAATGCAGGGAAAGCTTTGCTCATGGGACAGTCACCCCAGGGATACGGAGAGGGCTGTGGTGATTCTTGCTCTGGGAATGTGCTGACTGGCTGTTTTGCTGGCCTGGAAACCTCGGTCTGTGAATGAGCCAAAGCACAGACTGGAGGTGCGGGGTGGGGGAAGACAGCTCCCTCCCTGCTTGTGCTTCCCTCCCTACCCCACAATCCTTAGCTTGCTGTCCCCACCCATGCATTGTGGGGCTGCACAGGGACTCCGTGTGACTGAGGGGAGGACACCGGGATCACACACACTGGCTAGTCTTCCCTGCCCCCACCCCCATTATAGGCAGCTCCATCTCATGGTCCCTTCCCCACACCAGAAGCCGAGCTCCCTTCAGGCCCGATTGGCCAGTCCTGCTGCTGATCAGTCCCTCCAGGTGCTGACCTAAGGGAACTGCCTGCATGGGCAGGTGCCGCCCAGCTGGTGCCGCGATGGCACAGCTGGACCTGAGAGTGGGGAACTCTGGGTTGTCCTTGGCACTGCCTCCTACCCTAGAGCAGGGCCTGATGACTCCAGCCCGGTGTTCGGAGTTTGCTCTGCTGTGGTTGACAGCAAGGAATTCAGTAGGACAAAGCCAGGAGCCATGCACCAGGACTCTGTGGGGTCAGGGGAGAGTTTATCATGAGGTTGAGGAGGGGATGGCACAGGGGGTGCCTGGGCAAGGGGGAGCTGCCAAACCAAATGGTAACAAAACATAGGGGCTCCTGCTAGAGAAATCCAGCGTGAATTTTTCCACTTCTCCCCAGGGCTGCATCTACCCTCCATGCCAAGGGTATAGGGATCCCACGAAGGGTCTGCGGGTAAGAGGGAAGGATGCGTTGCTCTGCTAGTGCTACATAAGTGAGGTGTTTGCTGCTGCAGTTCCCTGATGCTCACAAAGCTGGTTGGCTGGAAGAGGTAGGGCCAAGGTCCAAGGGTACATCAGGGATGGTTGGAAAAACATGTGAAGGGAGAGAAATGGCCTGGTGAGAAGGGGTGGAGGAAGGCAGAAATGGCACAGCCATGCCCTTATAGGGAGATACCCTGAGGAAGGGGCTGAGAGGGCCAGCTCCAATAGGAGATCTGGGAAAGGACAGGTACAAATCATCTGTGTCACATCAAGGGCCAGCAGAGACGCCTTCTCTGAATAGAGGGGAGCATGCAGAGTCAGGATGTTATTTATCATTAGATTAAGAAGTGAAGCAATAGACCTTGGAAACTGCTGCCTTCTGAATCAGCACCGTCCCCAGTCAGCACAAACCCATGCCTCAGCCAGCAGCCCCAGACCATCACATGACAGGAACAGGTGAAACAAGTCTGGTGGCCTCAGCCAGTAGGTCACTGGCAAAGGGTCATCTCCCCTCTCAGCTGGATCCAGTGCTCCTCTCTGCTCAACCTTGCCATTCACCATCTTGGCTTTCCTTTTGGGATTAGATTATTGAATATTTAAGTGTCTCTCTCCAACACCATCTCTGATCCCTTAATCCAACTGCCTTAGTAATTCCACAAACCCAAATCAGCTCAGATCTCTCCACAGATGTAAGCCTTGTTCCTCAAGGTTTTTCTTCCCCCGCCCCTTCTCTCTTTCTTCATTATTATTTATGTCCTTCAGGTCTCTGCATTAGAAATTGGTTTGACTTTAACAGCAAAGGTATAGCAATATCTTTTGTGAGCATCTCTGAAAAATGAAAGGAGGGGGAGACAGGATTCATAATCTGAAGTAACTGAGTAGCCTTTTACTTTAATGTTTTACAGCTGCCCCCAACACACACTTCTCCAGCTGGAGAATGGAACTGGCTCCTTAGCATCAGCAGGGGACACTCTTCCAAAGTCAAGGCTTCCCTAACAGCCTGGTGTGGGAGGGGGCAGTAGGAATGGGGACGTGTCAGCAGTGGGTTTCTCCCCAGGTAGTGGTTCAGGATTCACTGGAAGATAGGTAGCCAGGGGCCAGAGAGCAGAGAATCGAAATGTCCCCTTGGCACCAGCTGGGGTTCCCTCTCAGGAGTGGGGTGTGTTAACTGCCTCCAGGAAGAGTGGGCTTTGGGTGGAGAATGTTCCCTGGCATCAGTCGGGGGTGTTGCTCTGTAGGTCAGGAGGCAGCAGTTATACGGTGGAGACCCTGGGCCTAAAAGCATGTGGAGGGTGGAAATGTCTCCTTGGTGCCAGTAGGAGTGCTGTCCCTTTGTCTTGATGCCATGGCCACTCCAGGCGGCAGATGAACTTTCATTGTCACCTCATGCAAGCTGGATGGACTTTTTCCCCCGCCTGGGGCAGGAGGCTCCCTGGTCTTACAACATGTGCTTCCATCTGAAAACTCGGGTGCATGCCTGCCCTATCATGGTAGCTAGGTTTTGCCAGAGGACCCTGACCAACACTTTGCTTACCCACTTCAGCATGTGAACACAATCCCTATGCTCTTCTCTGGGCACCTGACACTTGTGGCTGCCTCTTCCCAACTCCAGCCACCCCGCTCCGAGCTGGGTTCCCCCAGTCCACAGTATCGCATCTGCACTGCCCTGGCATGCGCCGCGAGGTGGGAATCATTTTCAGAGCAGGAGTGGTTACACAACCAATGAATTATTTATCTTCCTGCATCAAGTTTTTAAAAAAAGAAAGCCTGAGTGCATTGTGTTGGGGCTCTTCTTTGTTTGTTCTCAGCATGTGTCTGCCTCCGCGCAATTGCCTTCCTTTACATGGGCAGCTGAAAATCCTCAGGTTCATGTTGCCTTGGGTTTTGCCATTATTTTTCTGTTTGGTTTTTGTTTCATTTGTGCTCTGGAGTTTCCAGCTGACTGTACTACACTCCTTCCCCTGACTTTTTCCCAGTCTCCCCCTCAACTCCATCCCAACCTGTCTCCCAGGGTCCCCCCCCATGGCTGATACAAGATTGAGTTGCAAGTGTTCCCTTTGCAAAGGCTTGGCAATGTAGCAGGCAATGTCACTCCTTCCTCTCCACTCCTTTCCACCCCTTCCTTCCAGCCCACAACACACTGTTCTGCTTCTCCATGTCCCTGCAAAGCTAGGGAACCTAGCTGTCTTTTCTCATATTTCAAAGACCCCCTAATTGAGACTTCGTCTTGTCTCTTGTGTGTTCCTTTTCCAGATTCCAATGACAGATGGATCTCTCACTCTTTCCTGGGCTCACTCGCTCTCTGTATTGTTTTTTTTCGACGTGTTTGATCTGAAGTTCTGAAGCATCTCAGAGGGGACCCAGGAGAGGACGAGGCGCGTGGATGGTGTGAGCGGCAGGAGAGGCAGCTCTACCTTGTTCTTCCAAGTCACATTGCGGTGTTGTGGGGAGGAAGGTGTGGAGGAGCCATTCCTTCCATCAAGATTTGTTGGTGGTGGCTAAATTTTGTTTTATTTGAAAAGACAGCACAACATTTTTTTCCTTCCCCATTTGGACCTTTTCTGGTAGATTGGGGGAGGCAGGAAGAAGTGGATTTTGCTGTCCGCACTCTGCGCCTTGTGTTGGTGCAGAGGGAAACAAAAATGTGGGTGATAGCACCAGATAGAACTGGGGTGTCTGTGTCCTCCTATCGCTAAGCACCAAGCACTCAGGCCCTCTCCTCCCTTCACTTTATTCTCTGGCATCTTGGTTTCTTCTTGCCTGTAGTGGACGTTGCATCCAACCATGCCGTGCCTGGGATTGTGGGTGTCTGCTTTGCTCTGTGTGTTTGTCCCTGGCATGGTGCATGGTGACTGCTGGCTGATCGAGGGGGACAAGGGTTACGTGTGGCTGGCCATCTGCAGCCAGAACCAGCCCCCTTACGAGACAATCCCCCAGCACATCAACAGCACGGTGCATGACCTGCGTCTGAATGAGAACAAGCTCAAGGTGGTGCTGTACTCCTCCCTCAACCGCTTTGGGAACCTGACTGACCTGAATCTGACCAAGAACGAGATCTCCTACATTGAGGACGGGGCCTTCATGGGTCAGTCCAACCTGCAGGTCCTGCAGCTGGGCTACAACAAGCTCACCAACCTGACGGAGGGCATGTTGCGTGGTATGGCCCGGCTTCAGTTCCTCTTTGTGCAGCACAACCTGATTGAGCTGGTCACTCCCACTGCCTTCTCGGAGTGTCCCAGCCTGATCAGCATTGACCTGTCTTCTAACCGGCTCAGCCGGCTGGAAGGGAACACCTTCACCAGCCTGAGCAACCTTATGGTGTGTGAGCTGGCTGGCAATCCCTTCAACTGTGACTGCAGCCTCTACAGCTTTCTCAACTGGCTGGTGGTCTTCAACAACGTCACAAAGAACTATGACCGACTGCAATGCGAGACCCCGCGGGAGTTCGCTGGCTACCCACTCCTGGTGCCTCGACCCCACCACAACCGCAATGCCATCACCATATTCCAGTCCATGTGCCGGGGCGGCACAATTCCCTCTCTCTCAAGAGTCAACCCCACCCCCTACACGCCTGACTCCCAGAGAGACCTGGATGAGTCCTCAGGGTTCAACCATGGGGACTTCCTGTCAGTGGAACCCCCAGCTTCTTCTACCACTGACTCCTCCTTCAATCCCAGCATCAAGGTCCACCATGTGACCATCACCTCAGCCACCTTGTTGGTGACCATCCCCTCGCCCTACAGCAAGTTGTACGTTCTGACGCAATATAATAACAGCTATGTTGCTGATGTCAGGACCCTGAAATTCAAGAAGGAGTATGTCGTCCTCAAAGATCTGAAGACCCACACAGACTACACTTTCTGCGTGGCCTCCATCCGCAACTCCAAGCGCTACAACCACACCTGTGTGTCCTTTACTACCAGGAGCAAGGGGAGGGAGGATCCCATTCCCAATACCTCTACCACCACTCACTACATCATGACCATCCTGGGCTGCCTCTTTGGGATGGTCATTGTCCTGGGAGTGGTCTACTACTGCCTGAGGAAGCGGAGGATGCAGGAGGAGAAGCAGAAGTCCCTCAATGTGAAGAAGACCATTCTGGAGATGCGTTATGGCTCAGACATTGACACCAGCTCCATTGTCCACCCTTCACAGAAGCTGGGTGAGCCACCAGTCATTCCCATCTCACGGATGTCCTCCATCCCTTCCATGATTGGAGAGAAGATGCCCCCATCCAAGTCAATGGATGCTGGGATGGAAACCCCAAAGGTCACTACCAAAGGCAACTACATTGAGGTGCGAACAGGTGGTGGGGATGGGCTGGAGAGAACTCAGCGAGATGATGACCTGCGGGAACTTGACAATGGCCAGGGCTCAGCAGCTGAGGTCTCCACCATTGCCAAGGAAGTGGACAAGGTCAACCAAATCATCAACAACTGCATTGATGCCCTCAAGCTGGACACAGCCTCCTTCCTGGGAGGAGGGGGTGGCGTTGATTCAGACATGGCATTCGAGTGTCAGTCCATCCCCACCAGCTCCTCCGGCGGGCTGGAGCGGCCCAGCTTCCTCTCACCGCCCTACAAGGAGAGCTCCCACCACCCCCTGCAGCGCCAGCTGAGTGCAGATGCTGCAGTGGCCAGGAAAACCTGCAGTGTCTCATCCAGTGGCTCCATCAAGAGCGCCAAGGTCTTCAGCCTGGATGTGCCCGATCACCCACCGCTGAGCAAGTCAGACTCAAAATACATTGAGAAAGGCAGCCCACTCAACAGCCCCCTGGATCGTCTTCCCCTGGTGTCCCCAGGTGCCATCCACCACTTGGAGGTAAAACCTTCTTACCACTGCAGTGAACATCGGCACTCCTTCCCAGCCCTTTACTATGAGGAGAGCGCAGACACCCTGAGCCAGCGGGTGTCCTTCCTTAAGCCGCTCTCCCGTTCCAAGCGGGACTCCACGTACTCTCAGCTCTCCCCCAGACACTACTTCTCAGGCTACTCCTCCAGCCCTGAGTATTCATCAGAGAGCACTCACAAGATTTGGGAGCGTTTCCGGCCTTACAAGAAGCACCACCGGGAGGAAGTTTATATGGCGGCCGGCCACGCCCTGCGGAAGAAAGTCCAGTTTGCCAAGGATGAGGATCTGCACGACATCCTGGATTACTGGAAAGGCGTCTCCGCTCAGCAGAAGTTGTGACTCTGTCTTTACAAGGAAAAATAAAAAGGACTCCCCAACAACCACAAGAAAGAACCACTTGACTGTGAATCAAAGAACCAACAAATGCTCCCGACAAAAATGAACCGAAAACCATTTCTTAAAAGTTTACAAAAAACAAACAAACTCCACCCCCAACTGAAATGAATTGTTTCTACTGTGTTACGGGGACCATTGTTACTGCTGCAGGTGGTTGGGAGGAGCTGCCTGCTTTGACACTGTGGTAATGTCGCCATGCGTTGGGGTTAGCTGCGGTCCAGGACATGGAGGGGCAAGAGGGATAAGCAGTGAGGAGAGCAGGGAAGGATGCTAACTAGGTGTAGACTAAAACACTAACCATTACTTTTCTGTTCCTATTGCTCCTTTGTTCCAGAATAGTTTCATTTTAGGGGGGGAATCCTGACTGCTCCCCAAAAGGGGTAATGGCGATTCCTACCCCTATCCCCCAGGCATTCCCATCAAGAGGAAATTGGGGATGTCCCCATCCCGCTCAGGATGGCAGTCCAAGTCACTGGAAGCTAAATTGTTTTTTTTACAGGGGCAATGTTGTGAAGACCTGCCCCAGTCTTGTGGGGTTTGTACAGAAACCAGAGTGTAAGAGGAGGATCTCTCCTCATGTCCTCTGTCCCCCCACACTCTGTCAAGATTCCCTAGGTTGGAGTCAGGCTTTGTGGCTGGTGGCTGCATCAGCCTCTAATCTTCCTTGGGGTACATGGCCCAGGGAACTCCTTTCCCCCTACCTTTGATTCATGTAGG